AAAAAGGTTCACCGTCGTTTAACACTTCACTGCCGGATCTGAAAATTTCCAGCCACACTCCGGTGGGCGTCAGTGGTATCGAGAATCGCCCAGGATAGAGATGGTTGAAGGTTGAGCGGCTGTTGGTGTCGATGAAGGATGGTCGCTGGGAAATGGGGCTGTTGCAGTTCGTTTCCGGCGAGCTCTGGGTGGCGTTGGATCTTAGAGAAGCGAGCTCTGTTGCAGTTCGTTTCCGGCGAGCCGCTTTTCGTTCCAGCGGAAATTGGCATCTCAGCTACATACTCAAGATTCATCCTAATGGCAGGACCACGTAAAAATCGGATATAGCCATTTGATGCCTACAGAAAACAGAAGAAACAGTCAATACTCTTTAACTATGACCAGCATTCAGTGACTATACTCTATATATGTCACCAGATTTTGAAAAAATCAGGAGGTGCAAAACATTGGCACCATGATGAAGGAAATACAAATCTTCACACTAAGCATTAAAACATAGATCAGTTCAGCTTCACGAGCAACTTTTGGTAACCAAGCTAGCCCCTGAACTAAAAGAAATTAAGAGCATCCAAGCTAGATAGAGCTTTTGTTTAATCTGGCAAACATTCTATTGTGACCATAAAGAAGGATAAAAGACATACCACATTCTCAGCACGTGATATTTTTAACAATAGAGGATCATGATCTCGCCGAGTGGGCGCATTAGTAGAATTGTATTGTATGATGACCTTGAACTGCTCTCCACTTGTATCCAAGAAATCGTAAGCTGCGGGAATGGAGAAATATCAATAGGAAGTATACCCCCTAGAGGGAGTTAGAGATCTGAAGTTATATGCCAAACATCATATATAGGGGCTAACCTGCCAAAAATGCATTAATTTTTCCACCTGTATTTCCTTCTCTGAATCCTTTGAATAGCTCAGTGTTAATATCTAAAGAGCTATTACGCCACAAATTTAAACCTTCGACGCATATCACATCTAAATATGAAAGGAACGTAACTCACATTACAACACTCCATTGTAGTTGAACATATAATATGCCTGACAGCAGTGTAACAGCATAAAAGAAACTCTAAGAGTCAAACTAACAACAACAACAACGACGCCCAGTAAAATCCCACTAGTAGGGTCTAGTGTGTACGCAGACCTTACCCCTACCCCGAGGAGTAGAGAGGCTGTTTCCGAAAGACCCTCGGCTCAAGAAGACGAAAAGAAAAGAGACAATATCAGTACCACCAACAAATACCATAAGAAAAGATAACAACATCATGAAAGCTAGAAAATAGGTGCAAAGCAAAAGCGATAGCCAGTAAATAGACTCGGCCTAAGAGTCAAACTAAATGGATTCAAATTTATTTGGATTTGAGTAATTGCGTGGGCTAAAGCAATTGTTAGGCTTCTGCAAAGAAATAAGTTCAGGTATGTTGGACAGACATTAGCAGTAATGAGTGGCAATAAAGACATTACCGGATTCCGCTACTTCTGATGAAGAGTTTTTGGAGCATCGAGACCGAACATGAATGAGAGGACTAGACAGGCCATCATTTCTTCCCTGTAGTAATTCCAAAATCAAGTGTTATAGAGTACTCCCAAAACATGATAAGTATAAAAGAGACAATAAGATTGCTACTGCCTGGGAATAAAATCCAGAAAAGAAGAAAACAGAAGGAAGAGAAAAGAGAACTCACAAAATTGCCATTTGCAATAGTATCTACATCAGAAGTTGATTTTGGATCAGGAGTATCTGTGAACATCTTTCCAGCCACACCTACAAAAAATTCACAAATTACATTTAGAAGAAAGAGCAAGTCATGAGGGTCCCAATTATGAAAACAAATGACATGAGGAAAAAAAAACATTTACTTTCTGCAAGACTTCTATTGCTCCCTGTGATAAGTATGGTTACTGGACATGAATCAGTTTACCTGCATGACGCATCAGGCAAGCCTGGAGATTGGATAGAATCCGTGGCGACAGCACGGAATTTGGGAGAAGGGATTTGCAACAAGGGAGGATATCCATTTGGATTATCGGCCTCAAAATAATCTCTTTCCTGCTTGTTGAAGTAGGTTTGCATACCACCAAGTAACACAAAGAGGATAGCTGGGAACAAAATGACCTTCAAGTGTGATCTTGAGTGCCGTTTCTGAAAATGACATTAAAAATATAGTAGTATATTTTTTCAGACAAAACAATACTAACTGTTATACCGACTAATTAAGAAATCACTTTGAAATTCACAGCCAGATTCATGATTTCAAGAATCACTTCATAACAGATGCTTGCTTCTTTAATTGAAACCAAAATTAGACACAATAAGACTAACTTTCAGTTTCAGGATAAAATAATCCTAAAAGAGCTGCATCCACCATTTTGGACCTTTTCCTTACACTACATAACACAACAATATTCTCTATAACCCAATTTTGGGTTCACATTAAACAGACTTAAAATGAAAAGCATGTAACAAAATTCCAAGCACCCAATCTAAAACATTTCTTATGAAGCTATTTTTGTTAAAGGGTGGCCACGTGCGTACAGGCACTGATAAAGAGAGATAGGAGGAAAAAACATTAATTTTTTATGAAGTGATCCAACAATTTTTTGTATGTCCTTCCATATAATACGAGAGACTGCATAATTCACTACAAACATGTTACATTGAAATGAAAAATTAAATCTATAAATATGGATTATGAAAAAATGAAAAGGGGGAACTGAACTGACATGGTAAGTAAGGTTCTTGCGGAACAAAGCATTGGCTTGAGTGCAAAAGTTTGCCATTGATGAACGTCAAGCTCTGTCACTTGCCAATATACAACAAAGAATAAATACTACAACTCCTGAATATATAAAACAACTGTGAAATATATTATATCCTCTTTTTCACTTCATTTCGATTTCTGTGTACTCAAAAAAGTTGTAACTGCATGTTGGATTTTTGCAAGAGAAGCCATTTGTAAGGATTTTCAAGCGGAAGGAACAGCTGTTTCTTTATGCCCAAACTACCCTTGGTTGAAAGACTAAAGTGCCCCTCCTCCCTTCATATTTCGCATGTCCATAAAACTAGGAACAAATCTAGATCCCAACGTTAATTACTAGGATATTACTTGTGGGTCCCATATCTGGATTAGTGTAAACACTCTTTTCTGATCTATTTTATTTTATCTTCTTTTTTAGGTCAAATAAGTGCTATATGAATAACAACTTGTTTGGATGGTTGTTACTCATTGTATTATATCGTATTGTTACTTTAAATACAATATTTGTTTTGATTGTTACTTAAATTTTATTGTATCGTATCGTTAAATCCGTCGTTACATAACGACGAAATGTGTCACTTTATGTAACGACCGATTTGGTGTGGTTGCGTCGTTACCTTGTCTTTTTCTCTCAATCTCACCCTTTATTATTATTAAATTATTTTATTTTATCATTTACCCTACTTTTTTATATAGTAATTTTACCTTGTATCATAACTTTTCTTTATAATATTGCAAGTTTATTCTTCATATTGCTGGTGCGTGATATCATGAAACGATGGCAAACGACACAATCTATCCAAACATTGTATTTATCAAACGATACAATATAATACAATATAGTACGATACGATACATTATGAAACGATGCGTAACAACCATCCAAACAAGCTGTAAGAGAACACAACTTAAAAGTTAAATGTAGTAACAAAAGTTACAAATTCCGCATTTTTTCTACCTTCCATTAAATGTGTAAAACGGTAAAAATTAAAATATTAAAAAAATACTTATGACAAAAATAGAAGAGGATTTAATAGCGTGTTTGGCCAAGTTTCTTCATGGTCAAAAACGAAAAATTTTATTTTGTGTCACATACAACTGATACTAGCTGTATGAGACAACTTTTTTGTCTCACAGTTTTGTGGACCCAGATTTCTGTGGACCCAGAAATGTAAGATTGGAGTCCACAAATTTGTGAGACAAAAAGGAGCCTCATACAACTAGTGTAAGTTGTATGAGACACAAAATTAAACTTCTCGTCAAAAACACTTTTTTTTTCAAAGTTGAAGTGTTTAATTTGGCCAAGATTTTTTTTTTTTTTAAAAAAAAGAATTTTTGAGTAGAAGTAAAAACAATTTTGGAGAAATAGAAAAGAGTAGTTTCTCCCACAAAAATACTTTTTGAAAATTTGAGAAAAGAAGCATTTTTTAAAAAACTTAGTCAAACACTAATTCTTCCTTAGAAGTGTTTTTCAAATTAATTAACCAAGCACAAATTGTTTCTCACCAAAAGTACTTTAAAAAAACACTTTTGAAAAAAAAATCACTTCTCAAAATAAGTTAATTTTAGAAGCTAAACCAAACAGGCTATAAAGAACTATCATTTTCTTTCTTTTGTTCCCTTTGGAGTAAAAAGAAAATTTATGAATTTATTTTCCTCCCACATTAATCTTTTTCCAAAAAGGATGCCTCTTCTTTGTTTTATGAAGGTAAAAGGAACTTCTTAACTTCCCCTTCATTTATTATTTTCCCTAATATCGAAACAAGATCTCAATTTGAATGTAGTTTAATGGTAGGACCATTGCTATTTGTGCCACTAAATTTTTAAAAAGATATATAATGTACCATCTATTAAATCGTTCACATGGATGTTATTAAATAAAGACTATGGTTTAAATTTGTATTATTATTTGCTTCACATGGTCAGATTTCATAATAAACAAACAATATGCATTTAAATTCGTTTCCCTTATTAGCAACAAAAATGGTGAAAATAAATGTGTATTCATTACTAGTAGTTTTTCTATACTTAAGAGTAATGATCATGTGATGGTATTTGAAGTACTTACTTTAATATTCAATAACTGACATAAATCATCAAAGCTTATGTAATATTTATGATTTATCTAACTATTCTCAAATAAAAAAAAGAATTCAATAAATCGAAATTATATTCAGTTTATATAAATTGTAGTAAAAGATTGAGTCAGTCTTATCTTCTTACTCATCTTATATATACTTGAAAATGACACAACCTTAACATAAAAAATAAACACCAAGGTTGTACTTTGATCATTCAACAGATCGTAATACTGAGCTATCAATTACCATTTCAATTTACACACTACTTATATATATATTTGACAGACACATATTTTTAAAATATACTGCGAAAAATTAGGTCCCAAAAATGTCTAACCGCTGTCAGTTACAATTATAATAATTGAGTTCCTCTATCCTCAATTACGATGATAGTTGTCTGGATACATAATTTGATTGGTCCAACAGGACGTTTTATACTAATGATAGTAATATGGAACTAATTATGGGTTTTGGTTAGTATGTTCCATGGCTGTCCCGTCGTGAATTGTTAAAACATGACATCTTAAATAACGCAATAACTAAATATTTCCACTTTTCTTATCACTGTCAACTTTTTACATCTTAGTATCTTACTTCAGATCTAGTCCGATCTTACTACTGCCTACGTTCAGTCAGTCAGTCAGTTTTTCCTTTTTGTCTTGTCCGTCAACAACGACAAAATCGTAGGTTTGTTTGAGTTTTCCAATTTGATTTTTCGGCAAAACACATCTGTAAAGGGTTAGATCAGTCATTTCCCCATTACGTAACGGAAAATTGGCGGAAATCTAGTCAGCAGCATTTAAAACACTTGACAGCAAAAATAGAACATTAGAAATAATATCAGTACCACAGGTCCTAGAGACTTCACATTTAATTTCCCATTATAAATTATTATACCATGCAAATTAAAGTGGTAATTAACTCCTCCATTTTTCACTCCCAATATCCATAAATTGTTTCTTCAAGTGTTAAAACCTCAATCAAATTTTGTGATGGCTGAAATGGAGCTGCAGATGGGATTTCGTTTGTTTTGGCAACAAACAACGGCTTTACTGAAGAAAAACTTGTTTATCTCAATGAGAAGCAAAAGAGCAACATTTCTTCAACTGTTCTCATCACTCTTGTTTATGGCTCTTTTGTTTGGAATCCAAAAGGCCATGGATTATAAGGCAAAACATCCGTCAGCAATCGGAGCTGTCACTGATCCAAAGCCTCTGATGAACCCATCAATACCTCCATGTGAGCACAAGTTCTTTATGAAACGTCCGTGTTATGATTTTGTGTGGAGTGGAAGTGGTAATCCAAGAATTCAATCCATTGTTAATGGAATTCTTGCTAATAATCCGGGTCGCTCCATATCTCCTACCAAGGTAATTACAAGCATTAATGCTTTGTGTGTTGAGATCTTTCATTTTAGGAAAAATGATCAAATTTGGCCCTGCACTACCCCAAATTAAATAAAATTTTCCGTCAAAAAGGCTCATTATAGTTCTTGTGTTTACCTCGAAAAATATGAGTAACAATTAAAGATAATTTGTGGTTTTAAAGATATGTGATTTATTCTAATACTAACGATTATACAAGTAATATTGAACTTTAATAAGAAGGAATAATGAACCAGATCAACGTTGTTGAGGCAGTAGGGGGTCTCGAGTTCGTCTACTCAGGGACCTCAAGGTCAGCTAAGACCAACAAAGTATGAATAATAAAGTAAATGCAATAAAGCTCAAGAATAATTGTTGTGCACGTTAAACAAGAGAAGAATAAGAATGCTCTATTGCACTGAATGATACGATCTTTTTACAAAATGATTGGGGTCCCCTTTATATAGGAGGAGAAAACCCCACTATAGTACATTGCTCATAAAGGTAAAGAATTCTATTGGTATAGGTGTATAACGGCCTAGTACGGACCTATACCATTTCATACAATCCTTATCCTATAATTAATGCCTAGGTCCACGTGTCCTAAAGAAATTCCCGCTCTTTCTTGATTGCCCCCAAGAATGTACTGCTCTCGATATAGGTCGAGCCTGGTCTTCGATCTGCTTCCTTGAGGTGTATGCTCCCCACCCGGGTCTGACCTCTACCTCGAGTCGCTCGGGCTCGGATTCACAGCTCAATTTAAGACTTCAAAAATCATGCTCCTCGATTTTGACCGCATACATCTTGACGCCTAGCAAAGCTCCAACCTCGGGGTAATTTTCGAAAGTTGAAAGATAAATTGAAACTTTTTTTCTTGAAGAATTTGGACACGTGGATTTCACCCATTTCATGTTGGAGCTCCGTGCAAAGACAAATACGAGACAATTTGCTAATGGCAAGGGTATGAGTGAATCAAAAGTGTACAGAGTACATGGGCAAAATTTGACCTTTTCTCTTCATTTTGCGTGGCCCATATTGTAAAATTTTTTAAGTACCTTTTGTTATAAAAGATTCTGATTTATGTAATTTTTAATAGATATTTTTATTTAAAACAATGTTAAAGAAGTTTATATACGTATGAATTTATGAGGACAATTAGATGTTTTGACCATCTTGTTTTGAAACATCAGTTAATAATCTGAGTCCTCCTAACAATGTAGAAACACTGCTATTCATTTTAAGCTTTTTGAATTAAAAATTATCTTTTAAAGGACACTAGTAAATGATTCCTTTCTCCTGTTTTGTGAAACATTATTACTATTCGGAGAGTCACTTTCAATATGGAAAATGTTTTTCATAATAATAAATTCTGATTTATAGTACTTTTATGTAATTAGTTATTGAATGTAGAATTTATTCCGTAATAGTTCAGGAATCAAAATTTGCAAAATAGATGCTTTGACACTCATTTTCCAACTTTTCAAGTACTAAGTAAATTTGCTGTCTGCTAGTTGCAGCTGAAAATTCATCTTTTTCTACAAATTTAACATGTTAGGTAAAAGTATTGTTACAGAGTTTTGCTTTTGACCAAGTTACTTGATTTTTAATACAATGTGGACAAGATGCTTCTGTGTTGCACATGATTTAAACTCTTTCATTTGCAGGTTAAGTCATTTAGCACGAAAGACGAATTGACAAAATGGCTTCTCAATGATCCAATGCGTACCCCTGGAGCTTTGCATTTTGTGGAACGAAATGCCACAGTTATAAGCTATGGTGTAGTAACAAATACTTCTACATATATTCCGGTTCCAAGGCAACCTGAAGATCCTACTTTCAAATTCCTAATTCCCCTTCAATTAGCTGCATCTCGTGAAATCGCGAGGTCTTTGCTTGGAGGTAATATAAGATAACAATTTAGCTTCATTACCATCAGTTTAAAATTTGACAGGCATAAAAAACCTTAATGGCTTCTCATCAATAAACATTATGATCAATAAGACTGCAATCCCCTTTTCACAGATTCAAAGTTCAGCTGGAATGTGGGTCTCGAGGAATATCCACATCCTGTACTAGAAGATACAGATGAGAGCTATACATTACTAAACGCTAACTCCCCAATGGATGCTATGCCATTGGTTGAAATGTTCAGTCCAATCTTCTTCTATGCAATTTCTATGTTTGGTTTTGTATTTCAGATTAGCTTAATGGTTCTTGAGAAGGAGCTCAAACTTCGACAGGTTATTAGTGCATTGTTATCGTAGAAAAGATTTTGTGCACTTTCCCATATATTGTAATCATTAATCAGAAAGTTATTTCACTATGTATAGATGTCATGCTCTTATGAAGTTTCTAGGAATACTTATATTTTATTCTGTTTCATCTTTGCATAGAGGATTATATAAAACGAAAAATCAAGATTACTATGAAATGCACTTAAATCGCTTGCAAAATATGAAAATTTGTAACAAGTATCATGTCTTTTGACATTTATGTCAGATGTGGATATTAGAAACGTATGTTGCTGCTTGGAACAAAGTTGGTTCCATGAAATCTTGTTAATTATTGGAGTGTACTAACTTATGGAATTACTTCAACTTTTTGTCCCATTTTTCTCATTTGATTTTCAGGCAATGACTGTGATGGGACTTTATGACTCTTCCTATTGGTGCTCGTGGCTAATATGGGAGGGACTTAAGGCATTCATTTCCTCACTCCTTATAGTCCTGTTTGGCATGATGTTTCAGCTTCACCTTTTCTTGAGAAACAGCTTTACGATTGTACTACTTTTATTCTTTCTTTTCCAATTCAACATGGTGAGTTCCCTCCTTTAAAATAGAAAGCTATGTTTAAGTTAAGCCACATTTGCAATATCTGTGGACTGATAACTTGTTGCATCTTGTTGTGCTAGGTTGGTTTTGCCTTCCTACTGTCAAACTTCATCCGCAAGTCCTCTTCGACCACATCTGCTGGTTTTGCTATATTTGTAATTGGTGTCGGGACTCTGGCAAGTCAATTTTCAGAATTCTAAAACATAATAAATCTCAAGTCACTTATAGTAATTGGTTTCTTTTTATTATAATACAGACATTTTCACCGGCCCTCTATGGTGATACAGACATTAAAACAAGATATAGAAGAATACTTTGGTCCTTTTTTCCACCTAATCCTTTTGCTGGAGGCATAAATGTGTTACAAAATGGATCAGACAGTGATGGGATCAGCTGGAGCAGGTTATCAGGATGTGATTTGGGTGAATCATGCTACTCAATGGTATGGTAGCCTTTTGAATTCTCTTTTGATTTTCAGCCTTTTGAATCATGCAATCCTGTATTATAGTACCATATTTATTCCAAAATAAGGCCGATTAACCATTTCCTGAACTTTTTTGTCTTGCCAGCTCCACTATTATCGATGGCTTATATCAACTTGCTTCTTGTGGCTTGTTTTGGCTATCTACCTAGACAATATCATACCCAACTCAGCAGGTGTAAGGAAACCCCTTTTCTATTTTATAAAACCTGGATATTGGACAGGGCGAAGTCAAGAGAAGCCGGAAGGTACTGGAATTTCAAATTAACTCTCATTTCCTTATTAGTTTCCTATTGATTTCATTTAAAAACCACGCTCTTTCTCGGTTGTTGTTTCAGAAAATGCCCCCATTTTAGGTTCTGGTTCTGCACTATCAAATGACAGTTTCTCCCAAGATAATGAGGGTGTTTTCGACGAGGAAAACAGGGTGAAACAACAAGTCAAGGGAGGCATTATTGATCCCAATGTTGCTGTTCAGCTACGAGACCTTTCCAAGACATATTCTGGAACAATGAGCTTAAGTTGCCACTCTTGTTGTCTATGCTGTTTTTACTGTACATGCAAGATTAAGAAAGCTTACAGAGCTGTCCAGGTGAATTTCCCTATACTCCCTCACTACAAAGTAGCTTTTTGGCTAAAGTTGAATGGCGCAAATCTGGAGTTTTTTTTGTTGCAGCAATAAGTATTCACATTTAGTTTATACCTTGAGTTTGTGGAAACCATCATTTATCTCTGCTGCCTTTCTTCATAATGAAATAACTCTAATTTCCATTTTACTATTGTGAATGATGTAAGTGTATTTTACTTCATACTGCAAAAGATAGATTACACCTAGAATATATACACAAAGTTAGAGACATAATTCAAGAGTGTATCCCTAAGATCATGGCTTTTACCCACAATCTTTGACTATACCATCAGACACAATCTAACATACAATCTAATATTGAAATACTCTCTGACAAAATCTAAGTCTTAACACTCCCCCTCAAGCTGGAGCGTAAATGTCATATGCTCCAAGCTTGCTACAAATGTATTCAATCCGAGCCCCTCTAAGGGACTTAGTAAGGACATCTGCCAATTGGTCATTTGAACCGACAAAGCTAGTGGCAATGCATCCGGACTCGATCTTCTGCGTAATAAAATGACAATCCACCTCTATATGTTTCGTTCTTTCATGAAAAACTGGATTAGAGGCAATATGAAGGGCAGCCTGATTGTCGCATATAAGCTCCATCTGTTTGAACTCAACACATTTTAACTCTTGGAGGAGTTGTTTCAACCAAATAAGCTCGCATGTGGCAAGGGCCATAGCTCGATATTCTGCTTCTGCACTAGATCTAGCAACAACATATTGCTTTTCCAAGAGATTAGATTTCCCCCATTCATGATACAGTACCCAGAAGTAGAGCGTCTATCTGACGGAGAACCTGCCCAATCAGCATCAGAATATCCAACAATGTCTGTGTGACTTTTGTCTTCATATAATAGTCCTTGCCCCAGAGCTTTTTTGATGTATCTTAGGATACGAATTACTGCGTCCCAATGATCTTTACAGGGAGCTTGGAGAAACTGACTAACCACACTTACTGCAAATGAAATATCAGGTCATGTGATAGTAAGATAATTCAGTTTACCGACCAGTCTTCGATATCTGCCAGGATCATTCAATGGCTCCCCCTGTCCAGGGACGAGTTTGACATTTGGATCCATAGGAGCGTCAATAGGTTTGCAGTTTAACATGCATGTTTCCTCTAGTATGTCCAAAGCATATTTCCTTTGTGAGATAGCAATACCGGTCTTGGATTGTGCTACCTCGATTCCCAAGAAATACTTTAACTTCCCCAAGTCCTTGGTTTGAAAGTGACTAAATAGATGCTACTTTAGTTGAGATATTCCTTCTTGATCATTTCCAGTTATGACAATGTCATCAACATAAACGACCAGATAAATATTATTTTTTGGACCATTATGTCGATAGAAAACGAAGTGATCTGCTTCACTTTGAGACATCCCAAATTGTTGGACAACAGAGCTAAATCTGCCAAACCATGCTCTCGGAGATTGCTTAAGGCCATATAGTGAACGTTTCAGACGGCATACTAAATTTGACTCCCCCTGAGCAACAAACCCAGGAGGTTGCTCCATATAAACTTCCTCAGCAAGCTCACCATGTAAGAAGGCATTCTTTATATCTAGTTGATGAAGCGGCCAACAACGCATTGCTGCTAAGAAGATAAGCAGTCAGACAGATGCAATTTTGGCAACGGGAGAGAATGTGTCACCATAATCAAGGCCATAAATCTGGGTGTATCCTTTAGCAACAAGGCGAGCTTTCAGCCGATCAATTGTTCCATCTGAACCTACCTTTATTGTATAGATCCACCGACATCCAACAATGGATTTTCCTTTCGGTAACTAGACCAATTCCCAAGTGTTATTGGTCTCTAGAGCAGTCATTTCTTCGATCATAGCCCCTTTCCACCCTGAATGTTCCAATGCTTCACCAACAGTCTTTGGTATAGGTACATGAGATAAGGAAGATACAAAGGTATAATATAATGGGGACAATCGATGATAACTTAAGCAGTTAAATCGTACTGG